GTCTCAACCAAACAATGCACTGTATGGTGCCAGAAATAATAAATCAGTGCTACCCTCAGGACTGAAATGGAGAATTCCCTCTGCCCTTGTAGCTCTTTGGAACTTTAATCTGAAATATGCCCTGAATCAAAGGATAACTTATTGGTACACAGGAATTCCCATGCTTGGTCAAATCTGATTTCCACAGAGTCAAGCACTTTGCTGCTGGTGGTGGCCAGAACCAGACCAAAAATTGTTGTCAGTAGAGAAATGTCTGCAGAGAGCACTTAATTTTGCTGACTTTCATCATTTAGGAAGGACTTCAATGCACCTGATCTTAGCCATGTAGGAATTGCTGCCTGATCCTGTAGGTTTCCTTTGTGGAGAGAGACACAGGAGTCTGCAGGAGTCAATTCACCCCATTTTAAGATGTATTAAGGCTTGTTATTGAGTTGATTGGAGAAAGCCTTAATGTTGTCTAATCACAATTGCCTAAATTAAGTTAGGAGGAATCCCAGTGACCTTCTTCTGCCCATGAGGGTGGCACTGCTGTTGTTCAGAGATCTTGGCTATGTAGGGACATACTCACCTCCAGAAAATGTCATCTTATTGTGAGGGCTTTGTGTTAGGGAGGGGACTATTTCTCATGCAACAGCTGTCTCCTATAATTTGGGGCAAATCTGGTGGCTTCAAGGCTGTTGAGGACTTGCCCCCAATTTATTAGTGCAGTGAAAATGGTCCCACAACAGGGGACAATTTTTCTCATGAAGGTTTTGCAAGAGAGGGAAATGCCCTTCTTGTGTCTGGTCCATCTGCCCTACTCAGGACAGGATGTTCTAAAGACATTTTTCCCTGGTGTTTAATTTGCTAATCCCTGATCCAACCCTGGCTATGCTGCTGGGGTGAGCAGGGGGGTATAGCTGGTGAGTTTGGTTTCAGAGCTGCTCTTGTAGATGTGCAGAACCTCAGTCCCTCTAAAAGATCCATTTTTGTATAATAAGAGAATGGAAATAGGGTATGGCATTCACTTTTGCTGTGCATTGTTCTCTGTGCTGATTTTCAGCTGTTTCTTAACTGAAGGGATTTGAATGAAAGATCATGATTTTTGTGATCTCTTTGTGTGATGATTTCACCAGAACTAAAATCATTCATGTTGTTGGCTGGGAGCTGTTTCTGAATCCTCCTGTTCTCTTTCTGTTTTGGCTGAAATGGTGCAGACAGGGTATTTATTCCAGGGCAGGGTGTACACAGGAGGGCATCTTATGTCTTTAGTGCTGCTCTCGCTTGGTTTTCACAGTATCTGGCTTCAGTTTGCTTATTTTGACCACTGGGCAGTAAATTTATTTTTTTTTTTTCCAGAGCTGCCCACAATGCCTGCAGTTTTACTGATATATAGAATTCATTCAGGACTTGTTTAGTTCAGCTGTTTTTCACTGTGCTGTGTTTGTCAGGCTGAAATTTGCTCGTCGGGAAAGAGGGAGGTTGTTATTTTCTCCTGACTCACCTTCCTGGATAATTATCCAGCTCCAGTGTGCCCCAGGCTAGGTGAGATCTCAATATTATCATTATTAATAGCACTCCCTCATCCCAGCCATGTACATTTGCAGCTTCCCAGCCCAGGCAGGCAAGGCCAACCACGGAGTCAACAGGAGGACTCTGTTATACGTGTGCTTAAGTGTTTGCAGGCACTGGAGCTTAGACTTTCACAAGCAATTAGTGATGTTTTGTGCCTCGGCTTTGATGCCTCATTCAGCACATTTTAGAGGGGGTTGTTTATTGCAGAGCACGGAGCTCTTACCCTCTGAGTACTCTGGGCCCCTTTTGGGTGTCTGGCTGGGCCATCAGAGCTGGAGGAATTTTCTGGTCAGTCAGCTCTTGGATTAAGAGCTCTGGCTGGGAGCTTGTCAAATGGCGTGTGTCTGTAAATGTCTTGGATGGATTGAGGCTAAATGAATTATTATCCCTTCCCCCTCTCTCTCCTTTCAGTGCACAGCCTCAGTCCTTTTCTGTGTCTATATTAGAGGAGATCTTTATGATCCCATGTGCTTTCCTGGGACATGGCTGGCATTTAGCACACCGTGGTGTGCTGACCTATTTTTGTCCCTTTCTGGGCTATGTATCTGCACATATTTATCCTTATTTTAAAAAAATAAATATATAGTTTAAAAGCAGGCATGTGGAAATAACAGTACTGAGTTTATTCTTTTCAGTTACGGTATAAAAGTACCACCTAATATATCCTTACAAAATTCTGCTTCCTTGTTGGCCTGCAGACAATAACTGTTTGGACAAATGAATAAAATACCTTTTCTTTAAGTGTATATCCTGCAGATATGTCTTAACATAAGGAATTTCTGTGATAGCACCGCCAGGTTTGTTCAGGCTGGGTGCCTGAAGGGTTTTGGGGTAGGAACATCCTTGTTCAGTTAGGGCGAGTTTTATACTTATTTAATTCTTTTAAGTGAAGAAATCTTGGGTTAAGCTTAGAATTGGAGAAGGATTAAATGGCTTTTGAAAGGGGGAGTATTGGCTGTCTGCTGGGAAAGGCAATATAAAAGTGAGACCTGGGCCTGGGTTGTGTTTTGATCAAGAGCCAGTTTCAGGTGCTGGTGAATAGGATTTGAAAATGGGATGTGTACCACTGCCTGTACAGTCTGTGCAGCTTAAGCTAAAATAACAAAGCCCAGGATCATGCAAACATTTCAGTGGGACTTGGAAACCTGAGCTGGATCTGGGCCCAGTGCTGTGGTGAGGAGCTGGGGCTGCCTGGTGGCCCAAATGGAGGGAACCCATCGGGGGATTGTGTTAGGAATATAATGAGCTCTGCTTGATTCTGGATTAACTTTGGCTGGCAGTTCACATGTCAGGCATTTTGGCAGTGGTGAGTCCCGTTCCTTTTCTCCAGTCTCTCTCCTTAGGGCAGATTTCAACAAAAAGTGAGTTCTTTGTATGAGCTGAACTCTCTGCAAGACTGAAGGGCCTGTGGTTCAGATGCAACTTTCCCATCAGTGCCCAGCAGATGTGTTCTGAAGTGCTCATGAACTATGGAGAAATGCTGCTGTTTTGAACTCCTGCAAACAGCCAACAGATCCACATGGGAAATTAAATGAGTGTAATTTTGTGGAGAGACACTGAACGTGGCTGCTAAATGAGCACCACAAAAATAAAACACAACCAACAAGGGCTGTTTGCTGGAGCAGCTGGGGAGGCACATAAACGACAACTGAAGGATGTGACAACTTGTAAATTGGCTCCTCTGATTGCTTAGAAACTTCGCTTTAGAGGAGACTTGGCATTTAGCGGGAGGCTGCAGGGATGCCTTTGGGATGTGGGGAGAGGGGAGAAAGCCCTGTGGAGAGGGGATTTGGAGGGCTGGTGGAGGAGCAGCATGGACCAGGGAGATGTAAAATGGGGAAGAGGGGCTGTGAGAATAATTGGGAATGATATGGAGGGGTATGGCTGTGGCTCCACGTCAGGGCAGCATTTGTGTAAATCCAAGTGCGTCCTTTAATGCTGCTTTTGGTGGAAGGACACCAAATGGTTCCCGTTGCACTTTCCAGGAGTTCTGTGGCATTGCTCTGATATCTGGGGAAGCGCAGGCTGTCTCCATGTTTGTATAACCCCAGCCTCTGCCTCTGCTCAGTTTTGAACCTTGCCTTCATCTATAATACCCAATTAGTGTTTTGAAGTGTGTGTGGGGGAAGAAACCAAACAACCTTTCAGGCAGTTGAAAAATGGACTTTTACTTGAATGAAAATTACTGATTACAAAAGATACTTTCATTTGTAATGTCTATTTAAACTAAAAATCCAATTGTATCTGAACTGTTTAAACAATACTGAAATGGCCAATCACCTCTCATGTAATCTGCAAATCAGGCTTTAATCCTCTTAATATTTTTGGTATTTGTAATATGTAATTAAATAAGAGTCTCTGGGGGAAAATGAAGTTGTGTAACTTGCATCAGATCGACATGAAAACAGTTTTGAAGGCAATCGATATTTCACTTTTGGCTGCTTTTTGCCCAACCCTGTTTTCTTGTAAGGATCAACATTTGAGCTAAGGCTGTAAAACTTGGTCCTATTTCTACTATTGAAGCTTCAATCACAATCTTTTATTCCTGTGGGTAAGTGCTAAAAAAACCTCCCACAAATATTTTTGAGTGTTGTTCCCTGACTTTGGTCGGTGACTGGGAAGAGGAGCAATGTGTTTGTAATACACGTGGTTTTCTTCTGGAAGCACAGGAAGGATTGCCCAGCCTGTGTGAGGTGGGCTGCTCTCCATCCTCACATCCCATGTGATCGTGTTCTCCTCCTTGCTGGGAACACCCGCCCGACCATCTGCTCTGTGTTTGTTCCTGCTGATGAGGAGGAGAAGGTTTTGGAAGGGCTGGGGAGGAAGGGTGCTGTGGGAGTGCTGTTCCCCCTTGTAAGCTCATCCCAATCAGCAACAGGCTGGGGGCTGCAGGCTCTTCCTGCTGCCCCTGCCTGGCCTCTCCCAGCAGAAGCTTCGGGGCACCCACGGTGTGGGGTGGTGCTGGCCCCACATCTGCTGCTGGTGTGGGCTGTGTCATAACAAGGAGTGCTTTAATCACCTAATGAAAGCCACATTCCTGTAATTGTATAATATATGGACACAGCTTTGTACCATCACTTGTCTGAACGTGATACAAATTGGATGCAGAGGCTCAGCCTCTTTGGCAACAGCTTTGGGATCAACCCCTTAAAGCTCTGTGTGCCCTGACCCTGCCTGGTGCCCAGGTGGTTGCACAGCTAATGGGCAGCTGAGTCCTGGTTTGAGAGTTTTCACATCTGGGTAGATGATAAAATATTCCCAGCCTGTGCAGTTATAAATGGCACAAGCTCTTGTTCCTCAGAGCATGAAGAACCAGCATCACTGGTTGATTGGGATTAGGAAGCAGTGTAGTACAGGCATTTTTGCACCCTTTCCAGAATTAAAACCCGATGGCCAGGAAGTACAAAATGGGGAGCTGGTCCATCTGGGTCCCAACAGACTGCAGCTCATGGGCAGTGGATCTGCTGGGAGCAGAGCCACTGCTGTTCTCTCTTCACTGCAAGAGCAGAGACACAACAACCTTGGCCAAAGCAACAGCAGCTTTCCCCTTAGTGCTGCCATGGAATCAAATGGGATAGAAATCTCTTCATCTCCCAGCTGGTGCTTGGAGGTTGCTGGTGTTCTGCTGTTGCATTGCTTTGATGCTCCCTTTTAGGATGAAAGGTTTGATTCTTCCCTTGCCTTCTGTGAAGTGGCTTTCCTTGCTGATGCCCTGTAGTGGGTTGACCCTTCTCAGCTCTGTTCTCCAATGTGATGACTGGCTCTGATGTCCTGTTGAGCTTAATAAGGGGTTTGAGGAACAGCTGGAGGAAGTTCTGAGGGTTATAGCTGAAGTCTGCAGGGAGCCTGGTGCTCCTCACCTTCTGACTTTCCAGGATTGATTTGGCCAGAGTTACAGATGCCTTGGTCTTATGGAAATAGGCCTCAAAGTCAACATTCTCCTCAAAGTTCAGCTCAAGCACTTTCTTCACGTTCCTTTTCCTGGTCTCCTTTTCAGAGTTGGCATTGGATGTGTGGAGGGTTTGAAGCTCCAGGGCTGGGGGCCAGCCCACATGGACAGAGTGTGGGGACTGAAGTTGGAATATTCCCCTGGATTCATGGAGAGGTGAAGGCACATGGTCTCAATGTCTCCCTCTCAAAAAAGAGCCCCATCAGTCCTCTTGCTTTGGTTCTGGCTGATTGTTCCAAAGGAGTTGATGTTATCTATGAATTTCCCAAACTTTTTTGCTGCTCTGCTCCCAGGGGAATCCAAAAAGAAGTCATCCTCTGGCAGCAGGGGAGCACAGCCCTCCCCATCACTCTCCACCTCCACGCTGGGGTCAAACACGTGCTCACTCTCCTTAATTTTATCCAGCAACGCTGACTTCCTCTTGGGACTCCTCATCCCACTCTGTGAACTGGAAACCAGCCAGGGAAGAGTAGATGGGATGTTTCTCAACACACTGAGCCAGCAGGGACTTTAAATCCATCATTTTCACGGGATCTGAGTTTGGCAGCGAGAGAGTCTCCGAGGAAGGGAGAGGGACAATCCTGGGCTCAAACTGGAGCTCACAGTGGAAGTCCTGGGAGTGCAGACGTGTGAGGAAAATCCCAGCGGTGCTGAGCTCATCAAAGGATGTTGCTGCTTTCTGGAACAGGGGATCCACCTGACGCCTGCAATTGGCCTGTGACACATTGATGATGCTCAGTGGTTTTGAAGGACTCTTTTTTTCTTTGGCTGAACTTTCTTGATGGCCTCAGGAGCTGAACTGTCTTCTTCTCCTGGGCTGTCCAGGCCCTTGGCAGGTGCTGAGTCCTTGCCCAAGCCCACAAGGACTTTGTAGGCGTCTGCATGGACCGTGTCCACATGCACAGAGTAGATCTTGGCACAGGCACCCAACATTCCAGCTGTGACCTTGAGGAAGCTGGTGGACTCAGAGTTCTGCTTCAGGATCTCGGTCATGTAGTCGGTGAGATGTAAATCAAAGGCAACTAGACAGAGGAGAGAGGAAAAAACAAACAGCTAAGGATTCATGAGTAAAGATTAGAGCTGGGAGAGGTCACTTACTGCTTACCTTCATGGGCAAAACAGACTCAAAGTGTGGATAGTACTTAAATTTATTACTAATAGGATAAGAGCCAAAGAGTGAGAACTAAAACAGTCTTAAAAACACCTTCTCCCCCCCCTGCTCAGTGGTGCAGGGGACAGGGAATGGGGGTTGCAGTCAGTTGTTGTTTCTGATGTGAGTCCATCCCTTGGGCAGCAGCTCTTCCCAGTCTGCTGTCCCATGGGGTCAGTCCCTCATGGATGAGCTGTACTGGCATGGGTCCCCCACAGGGCCACAAGTCCTACCTGGGAAAAACTTACTCCAGCCTGGGCTTCCCTCTCCACAGGCTGCAGGTCCCTGCCAGGACCTGCTCCATCCTGGGCCTCCCATGGGGTCACAGCCTCCTTCCTGCATCCCCCTGCTCCAGCGTGGGAGCCTCCATGGGCTGCAGGGAACCACAGCTCTGAGTCCTTCTCCTGCTCCCATGGGGTCCCTCCTCCTCCTCTTGCACTGACCTTGGTGCCTGTGTTGTTATCCCATGTTCTCACTCCACTCTTCCCTGGCTGGAATTTCTTATGTGCAATGCTTCTCTATTCTAAATATGTCATCCCAGAGGTGTTACTATCATTCCTAATTGGCTTAGCTTTGGTCAGTGGCAGGAATCCCATCCTGGAGCAGCTGGCATTGGCTCCATAGGGCAGGAGAAGCTTCTGGCAGCTTCCAACAGAAGCCACCCCTGTAGCCCCCCTGCTACCAAAACCCAGCCACAGAAACACCCTGACATGTCCTCAATCCAAATGGGACAGCACAGAGCAGGTCTGGGTTTTTACAAGCTGCAGTGAACTTGAATGAAAAAAAGTAATTCATGTTTGAGCAGGGCAGCTGAGAAAGGAAGACACTCGATTGCAACAAGAATCAATTTCCTCTGCTTGCTTTCCTGGCTATTTTTTCTCTCCCCTGGTGATTACAGGTACTGCGTTTCGGGTTTAATTGGGAATTTTCCCACCCAGTACTGAAGCAGTCTGAAAGTTGTGCAACCTTCCTTCCCCTCACATAATCACCACTGGGTGTTTCCAAGGTGCTTTGGCTGACTTCTCCTTGCATCATCATCCTGTTTGAAGTGCAACAAAATATTAATTTCTTGAACTGTACAGAAGTGAGCACTGGAGCTTTTTATTCCTCAGCTGAAGCCATGACTTCACTTGGGGTCTGGAATTTGTAGGCTGGAGCAGTTCTTTAGTTCACACCAAAGACAACAGAAGGGTACAGCTCCACATCCAGCCGTGTTTCTCTCGTGCTGGTAGTGCTGCTTTAGGGCTGTTTTTTCTTGGAGATCTCAACAATTAAGGGCTGTTGGCTCCATTTCACAGGTACTTGCTGGGGGCATAGAGAGGTAATTTGCAGAGGATCGTGAGACCAAGGAGGGAATCCTTAGGGTGGGGAAAAGACTTCCCACATCCTAATCCTCCACCCACTGGTCCACACAGCTCAGACTGCAGGTGCTCAGTTGCGTCAGAGAGATGCAAAAGGTTTTGCCTCTGCCTGTGCTAATGCAAGTCTGGTAGATCTGCCAAAGCCAGTAAATCTGCTGGATTGGAACAGCCTGAAATGGGGCAAGATCTGAGGATAAACCTTTCAGAAAGTCTAGGACCCCTGTGGGTCTGAGCTCTTTGATAGCATCCTAAACTGGGTTTCAGCAGCCCTGCAGCTTGGAGGACACTGCCTGAATGTGACCTTGGGAGGCTTCTTTCATCTTCCTTGGTTTCTGGAGCTACTGAAGTGAAAGCCCTTTGAAAGGAACAGAAATGATCAGCAAGTGCCCAAAATGAACAGTGTTAGGGATTGGTGATTTTTTCTAGCAAAAAGCCTCCTTGGAGGGGCATGTGCAGAAGAGGGTGGGCTCAGCTGACCTCCTTTGCAGCAGACACAAGGATGGTACTTAAACCCTCCCATTGCAGGCACATGCATACCTGCCTGCTTATGGACACAGAGCCACATGCTCCATGGAATCATGGAGGGGTCTGGGTTGGAAGGGACCTTAAAAATCATCTGGTTCCAATCCCCATGCTGTGGACAGGGACACCTTCCACTAGCCCAGGTTGCTCAGAACCCCATCCAGCCTGGCCCTGACCACTTCCAGGTATGTATCTAACAGACCATGTGGGTGTGTGGGGAGCTGCAAAACTGCTTTTATGGTTGTGCTTCTTTCCAGGGAGGAAAGCAAGGGGAATAAAGGAAGAGTAAGAAGCAGACAGTGTTTGTATGAGGAATCAGCTGGCTTGAGTATGGCATTTTACCCCTCAGGGAAAGCTCTGGATGGGCAAATAAGCAGGATTATCACGGGCAATACTACTGCAGGTCCAGAAAGCCCAGGCTGGGCACTGATGGTACAGCATTGGTTGAATCTGAATAGATTTCCTTTTCATGGTGTAAAGGAGTGTGATTGCTCATCTCTTGTTCAGTGGCTTCAGTGAGAAGTTACATCCCATGTCCCTCTGTCATTGTGTGGGCCTTGCACATGACAGAATCATAAAATTGGATGCCAACTGGATTTAACTCCACTCACCCACTCTTTGAGCCCAGCATTGCAGGCAGTTTTTACCCAGAGAAGAGCACACCCATCCACCCCACGAGCCTCCAGTTCCTCCAGGAGAAGGCTGTGGAAATGGTATCAAAGGCTTTACTGAAGTCTAAGCAGAAAAAAATCCACAGCCTTTCCCTCATCCACCAAGTGGGTCATCTTGTACTAACAAAGTAATTGGCATCAGCCTTAGGTGACTCAAAGTCTTGAGCTCCAGAGGAAGGTGGGGATATGAATAATCTTCTCTTTGCTTTTCAGCTGTCTTCAGTTTGGCTGATATATTCATCTTCAGACCACTCTGTTTTTCCACTTCACCGAACACTTGCAGTAAAAGATGGTATAGGACAGATTTTAAATTTTATTGCCTTTTAAAAAGGAAATGTGGCCATCTATCTGTTGCATTTAAGTAGGTCCATGTACACATCTCCATCCTCCAGACGCTCGCACAAAATCAAGCCAAACAAACAGCTTTTTAAATAACAACCACAGTAACAGCAGCAACATTTGCAATCCAAACAAGACTTTTGGTCCCAAACAAATTAAAGTTATGCAACTGATGTTGAATTCATTCATAAAAAATTCTGAGTTTGGCAGAGCTAAGTTACTACATTAGGCCAAGAGAGGGCCCCATTGAACTGTGTTTCTTTTAATTTGAATTAAGGGATTTGGGAAGATAGAGGAGGAATAAAGAGAGAGAGGAAAAATATGACAAGTGGAAGGGCACACCAGAAAAGGAAAGAAAGAAAGAGGGGAAAAAAGAAAATCCTGGGCAATTTCTGGTATTCTGTGTTTATAAGACTGAACAAAAAAACCCATGCACATAAAAACCCCGTGTAAATGCACCTGAATAAGGAGTAAAAACGTATGGGAAAGAGGAGGAGCTCTGAGAAAGGAACTCTCCTTTTGGATGCTGAAGAAAATCAACAATGGCTCTGGGCAAGGGCAGGAAATTTGGCAGTGTCACATAATTGGCAAGTGTAAGGTTCTGCACAAAGCTACGTCTTTCTGTCAAGCCAAATGTATAATCCACCTTTAATTAGTTACAGCCACATTTTCATTTATAATCAGTAAGAAAGTACTTATGTTACTGTGGGTTTCAGAGGAAAATTTAAATACCTACTTTTTTTGTTTTTTTTAATAATGATTTTAACTTCGAGCCCCCTGATTTTCTTGAAGTTTAAGGACTGTGCTCTGGGGTGTCTGTTTGGTGGGACTGTTGGTTGTACTTTGAGTTCCTTTAGAATTTCTCTCCATTTGTGTAGCACAACTGAAAACATCTCACGTTCTGAGGGAAACCCCACTTGCACTGGGGAGAAAATTCTTCTCTGCCTGTCTTCTCCCCTCTCAGAACCACCTTCACAGGCGACAGGGGTTGACTTTCACGAGAATTTTGATGCAGCTTTAAAGCATTTCACACAAATGTTCCAGTGAGTTGCAGTAATTCAGTATGAAGTTTCGGGACACTCGTTCAACATGAAGAGCTCGTGGCAGAACCTGTCACAGCCAGGACTGTAGGATGCTGGGAGTCAAAAAGAAAAGAAAGAAAAAGAAAGAAAAAGAAAGCTGGAGGGGTGCAAAAAGCAGCAAAAAAGCAGCAGGCATTCAAGCTGCTGACTGATAAGCAAAAATTGCTGTGAGGGAATAAAGAGTGAAAGGCTTAGAGGCAGAGGGAAACATTCTATATGTGTTCTACATAGAGAGCCTTCAGAATCTCAGATTTGATTTAGAAGGTGATACAAATCCAATGGAAGAATTTCAGGAGATGCTAAACAACACTGAATTATGTCAGGAGAGGGTAAGGTTGGATATTAGAAAAAGGTTCTTCCCCCAGAGGCTGGTTGGGCACTGAACAGGCTCCCCAGGGCAGTGGGCACAGCCCCAAGGCTGCCAGAGCTGCAGAATTGTTTGGACAACACTCTGAGGGACAGGGTGGGGCTGTTGGGGTGTCTGTGCAGGACCAGGAGTTGGACTGGATGATCCCTGTGAGTCCCTTCCAACTCAGCACATTCTGTGAAGCACAGGGCATGAAAGATTTCCTTGGCAAGAGCACCACTGGTTTGCTTTTTGCCCTTTTAAATTTCTAACCCTATGACTGAGAGGTGCCATTTAAGGCCCTGGTGGCCCTAAAAGGTGGCAATTCCAGCTTCAGAAAGCTTCCTTAAAAGCTGGCAAGTCCAACCCTACTCAAAAGAATAACCTTTATATGGCAGTAAATGGGGATTGTTGAGATCTAATCACTGCAAAAACAAATGCAAGGTGTAAGTGCAGCAAGCTTTCTGAACAGTGTTACCCTGTAACCCCCCCCAAGGCTGAATAAGGACACTGCCTGGGGATGTTGAAAGTATTTCATGAAACCTTCTTTGAAAGTTGCTGTTTTAGGAGCCCTTTGATCCAAACATTAACAGTAGATGGAGATGCATCCTGCCCAAACAGCAGTCACAGCACTGGAAGGTTGATCTGCTAAACTTCCACACCCAGATACAAGCCAGGCTGAGACAAACTCCATGCTGAATTTTTTTCAAGTTTTAGACCAGGTAACACGAAACCCTGAATTCCTCCACACCTGGTATGCCCACTGTGAAGGAGGAAATACCCTGCAACATCTTCTTTGTGCATTTTTCCAGGACTCCCAGGTTTGTGTTGCCCACGTGCAACACAAGGCAGCTGGGTGTAATGCCAGCTCCTCCACAGCATCAGTCACCCTCTAAGGTAACGTGAGCAGAGCAGTTCTGTGCAAGAGGAGTTTGTTTTACCATGTGCTGCCAGGCTTGGCACTGTCAGCAGAGAGGCCAAAAGGAGTCCCAGCCTGGAAAAGGCACTTGCACCTCGCTCAGGGCTGTGAGTGCAGCCAAAGCTGCTGCTGTTAATGGATGTGTAATGAACAGGGCCAGGAAATGTTGGTTTTTCTCTGCTTCTTTTCATAGATATAGTTGATATAATAACATTTTTTAATTTGGATACTCTTTCAGATGGCAGTGGCACGTGTGAGGACACTTGTGCTGCCTTCTGTGCTGTCCCAGGGGTCAGCCATCATCACGCCCCCATCACTGCCAAACTTTGGATTTTCCAAGCTCAGCAAACTCTTAAAAATGCTGCTTGATCAGACCTCAGTTGCTGCATCAGGCAAATCTTGGGGTGCCTCACACCATCACAACTTCCCAGCCTTGCCTAGTCCTCGAGGGGATGTGGCACATGCTGGGAAATCTGAGCATCCCTTGGACCATCCACTGGCTGAGGGTGGGTGCTGGGGTGTGGGCTCTGTGGTTTCCATGCTAGAAGGGAAATGAGCTGGTTGTGTCTAAAACAAGGCATTTTTGGAATAAATTTCACAGAATTTCACAGAATATTCTGAGTTGGAAGGGACCCAAAAGGATCATTAAGTTCAACTCTTAACTCACACTCTGGGTGTTAAAGGCACGTATGTAGGGACAGTGCCTTGGTGTGTAAATGGGGATGTGCTTTGTGATTTGCAAAATTTATTTTCGTGTTAGAGATGGCAACAAAATTGGGGGAAACTCTTTCTGTTTTGGTCTGGCTCCCAGTGATTTTTTTTCTATTAAAAAAAAAAATATTCTTGCCAAACACATTTTAATTTAACTCCTGGCCAAACACTCTGGTTTAAAAAAATACGTTTAAGAGAATGATGTTGCCTCTGGAAAATTTAGCATAGTTCAACTCTGGGGCATCTGCCCCTCATTTAGAGGGGAATTACCATTCAAAATTTAATTTCAGGTTTTTCCCTTGTTGGAAGCATTAGAGATGTTTGACCTGAACTTGTGAAGGGCTTAAGCCAACCTGAAACAGCAAATTGTTCATGAGCAGGATTCCATCCTTAGCTAATTCTTTCTTGGTTACTACTCCAGCCTGTCCAGTGATGTAGCACAAGGTCTGGATCTGGACCATGGCTCAATTTTACTCCTTTTCCCCAAGGAGATCTCTTCTGGATCACTATCCCAGGGTTTGAGGATGCTGTTTGGAAGGTGGAGTGCTCTGCCTGGAGAGATCCCTCCCACACTGCCCACAGGATTTTTGGTGGAAACAAGTGGTCCAGTCCCCATGAAGCACACGGCTTTTGAGGCAGTGCAAATAATCCCAGATGGTATTTGGAGATCCAAATACTCCCTCCTCCTCCTCCAGCCCCTGAGGGTGAGTGAAATCTCAGCCCAGGTTTACTCTTGTGCTCCTGAAATATTGTTTCTGCCAGGGAAAGGCAAAAGGGAGGAGGGGGAGAAGGAGCCCATTTGTAAACACTTGTGAAGAAGGAGGCAGGTGGATTTATATTCTAATGGGGGGGATTTGGCTGTGGGACATCAGAATGAACACAATCTGATGAGTTTCATTAAGGCTACACCTCATTCTTTTAATTAACTTCTTGTTCTTGTCCTTGGTGAAGTAGTAATTATTTTTTAATTAGCCC